TGCTTGCCAGGTTAAATCATGATAGGGGGCAAAAGATCAAGAGGGTCTCTCTTGCAGCAATGATCTCAACAAGACATCACCCTCTGTTGACACTGACATCCACACTCTGTTGAACAGCGTTTTATGTGCTATGTGAAGGCGCCGAGGCTCTGGGGCTCCTCTTGGCTCCCAAAGCAAGCGCTGCAGCAGGGATGTGACCCAGGCTGTGGGTCAGAAACTGCCCCTGAAGCTTCACCTGCTACAGCAAAACGTGGCTTTGGTCTGATCCGACACTGCCCACAGCAGCGCCTGGGCCAGCAGACTCCCCTTCCAAGCGCACCCAAGAGAACAGGCGAGGGACAAATTCATCTGTGTGTTTTTCTTACCTGAATCTTGTGTTGAAGTCACTTTATACCAAAAAGAGGCAGGCCTCCAAGCAAGTCTTGATGGGCCATGATTCATTCCAGTACCAAAATGACACCAAGTCAGCGCTTAACCAAAAGACGTTGCCCCGATGTGCCCTGTTTAACAGTAGATTGCTAGAAAAATTAAGCACAAAAACTGCAAAGAATTTTGAAAGCAGCCGAAAACATTAAAAATCTTGCCACAAATACCCAAACCAAAAACGTAACCACCACAGAGCAGACAGCAGGAGGGATTCAGACAGCAGCCATGGGAGGGCAACGCATCAGGGGTGCTTCTGGGGGGCACTGCAAAGCATTAACTACAAGAAACGCAGCATTACTTCTTTTCTCAGAACAGGTTTTATTTCAGTTTAATTGCCAACTTCACCCCCTTTAAAAAACAACAAACAAATTTGCATTAATTTCTACAGAATTCAAGACAACGGACAATAGGAGACATGATTACAGAACGCAGGACCCGTGGCATCCAGCACACTTTGCACTTCTCAGTGCGGCAGCAAAGCTGATTACGCAGCTACGGCAGGCGGCTCTCTGCAATAACACTTGTACAGACAGAACAGCAGGGAAAAGCATCCACAATTGCAAACTTTGACCAAATATGTTTTCAATTTATTACAGTATGAGAAAAAGAAAACAAAAATCACAAGTGAAAGAAACAAAAAGGAGTAACTTTGCCTCGGGAGCTTTGAAAACCCCAGCCAGCAGCTACAAAGCAGCCCAGTGTGTCCCAGAATGAATCATCACTTTATTCCAGCTCTGGCTTGCAGGCACCTCACACTTCACTGAAGTACTTTAAATAGCAGCCCGTCTGTAAATGCCATTGTGCAGATTCACTGTAGGATCTGTCCCTTCACCTCCCAGCGCTCTCCACATGCAGGCGGCCCCGTCGCTCTGCCGTGGCTCCGACCAGCCCGCTCTGCTTGGGGGTTATCACCCCGGCCCCTCTCCTCCCTGAGCCGAGGGAGCCCCGACATTTCCACCATGACAACCAGAGGCAGCTCAGCTTTATTTTAAATCAAAAAGCCCATTCATTAAAAAACCTCCAACAAAACGGGAAGGGAGATGATCCTAAGAGCCACCTTCAGCCCTCCAGGAGAGCATCACTCATGCAATGGCTCTTTAGCTCCTCATACACCAAGAAAGGCACAATGCCGCTTGTGCTGCCGGGGAAAGCAAACATTTTACTTCTTCAGCAAGAGCTGCACAAGGTGAGAGAGGTTATGCTGAAAACACGGCTGCTTTTGCTCGGCTCCGGTACATTTACTGTCTGCAGCACAAGAAACACGGCGTTCCCAAGAACGGCCTCGATTCTCTGCACATGTAACCACCTACGCAGTTTTACACAACCAGGACAACTTGCCCGCACATATAGCAAAGCACACTCCTAAATACCACTAGAGTTTCAGCAGCAAATGCCAAGCTATTCCTGACTTGCCAGGGAAGCTGGAATTCTGCAGCCAGCCAGGCTCATCCAAGACCCTACTTGATTTAAGCAAGTGACACAGTTTGCCTCGAAGGACCCGGCTCCCACACAGGGCTTCCTCCAGGAACCGAGGCGGGAATTATCACTTCATCTGCTGCCTGCAGAGATGCTCTTGTGGAGAAGTGTATTAAACCTCGGTATTTGCTCCTCAAAGAAAAATCTTCCAAGTAAAAGAATGTCTCCCAAGCTATGCCCATGCCAATTTCATAGCTAGCCTCACTTTTAGTTGCTAAATTAAAAACCAGCACTAATAAAGGAACAGATTCTTTTCTCTTCTTTGCTGTCAAATCCTTTAACTAACCACACTGGCATGAACCAAGATTCATTTTTCCTCTCTCCTCCCAACCCTAACTCTGGATCCAGCTCATTGCAGATTTTTTATTTTTCCCTCAGAAGCATCCTCAGCTCAGGCAACCTCAGAAAGGGAAGAAACGCAGCCAGAGCCTTCAGGAAGCTTTCCTATTCCATGTGGTTTCCAAGGCTCAAGCAAGACACTCAGGTTGAGGAAGCGGGAGGACCAGCGTGCTCCTGGGGCAGCCCCATCGACCCAAGAGGGGCTCCTGGCACTGCAGGGCATCCTTCAACCCATAGGCAGGATCTCCCCTTCAGATTAAATAAGGCACTGATAATGTCTGCAGGTTTCAGTAACAGCCCACAATAATTTGCAGTCTGTTATGCAAAGGGCAACACAGTGCATAATCCGAACAGAATCTGCCTAGCAGCAAGGCGGTCTCTGTTTCAGCTTTAAAATGAGATGCAACTGCTGAGATTACTTTGAATAATGGGGGTTTTGTGTAAAATGGAATCCTGTTCCTCTAATAAGGTTTCAAAGTTGGCTTCAAGGCAACGATTTAAAATCCCTTTAGATTTCAGAGGGTTTTTTCTAGTCCCTTAAAAAGGGGCTGCTATAGGAGGTACGCGGCAGCGGGGAAAGGAACATTTAATTTCAAATGTTACAAATGAGAGCTAGTTTACTGGAGGAAAAAAAGCAACCTGATGTCACCTTAAACACAAGGCAAGGCAGAGAGAAAACAACAGAACATAATTAAAGCACTTCCCAAGATAGAAGGGAGCACAACAGCAGATTGCTGTGTAATAGGGGCAGCAGCGCCTCGCACTTAGCCAATTCTGTAGGAGACGCGCTCAGCTCCGTCGCTGCTTTCTCTCTAATAAGAGTCCCTGTGGAGATGAGACCGAAGAGATGCAAGAGCTGGTGGGGCGGAGGCAGGGGAAAAGAAGTCCAAATGAACTGCACTGCTGGGCGTCATTGTGTTTGCGTGGCATTCGTCTCACTCCATGTTTACGCTGCAGCAATCAGGCTGTTCAGTGTTTATAAAACCCCTTGGCTCCTGCTGACCTTGGGGTCTGTCCGTCTGTCTAGGCAGAACACGTCTGTTGAGTGCTGCGCAGCTACAGCGGGGCAGCTCCTAGGGAAACACCAGCTCTGCTGTGTAAAAGCAGCCCAGCCAGCTTTAACGGGGCTGGTGGAGGAACCAGTCACAGCGTAAACACAGCAACTGGGAGCTTGGCTTCCCAGTCAGAACAAACACTGAACCCAACTGCGCTGGCGTACAGCATGGCTGCAGCGCTGTCCCTGGAGCCCACCTGACTTCATTTGGGTGTTTCAAGATGAGCTGCACTCAGTAGCAATGGCCACAAAGTCTGGCCTTGAGATTTGACTTCACAAAGATTGCGGCTACCTCTGTGTGGGGTTGGGTCATGTCCCAATGCCACGCTAATGCCATAGGTAAAAACATGTTAGCAAAAAAGCAAAATCAGGGTCTTCTGAGCCCCTTTTCATCTTTCAAGGCACTTTCTGCAAAGTATTTGAATACTTGGCCTTGGTACCCAGTTCCTCCTCTGAACTATACGCTTGCTACTGTATCAGGTGAGTGTCGTCCTGGAAGGAAATTCAGTTATTACAAGATGACTTGCTTTGGAGAAGATGATATTTTTATAGCATGACTAAAGTTTAAAGCTGGAAGACAATTTTCAGTCTGACTCATTTGAGAAAACCATGCCAAATGACTGAAAATTTCTCATGGGATCCTCCAGTCTGTAGTAACTTGGGATGTAGCTGCAACTTTTATTCAGGTGACATTTGATCCGATCTGGAAAACTTCACTCAGGCAGTGAACGAGGAGCCACAAAGCGTCTTTCTCACCAAGCCCAGGGATGTGGTCTCCTCACGCTCTTGAGCAGGTTATTTGAAGAACTATCACTGAAAATGTCATTTCTCACAGCATGTTCAGAACTACTGCACCTCCCACCTGGAGGAGAAAAGCCATGGTACTGAGTGAGGCAGGAGCATGGTTAGGTTCATCAAGCTAAGAAACCCCGAGATGCTTCACTTGCAGTGCTGGCTCCCTGCATCTTCCTCAAGAATTTCAGTCTTACAGTGCTTTCTGCAAGTTTTTCAGGTTTCAACTTACAGAAGAAAAACATATCATCATCAAATGACATGATGAACAACCTCAGGCTCTTCAAGTATGTACATGTATCTTTGGCCATAAAAGAAGCCCCATGTCATGGAACTTGAGTCCCTGCAAAGTATCTTGGATTACTTCAGTTTTTTAGCTAAACAGTCTGCAAAACACTTCACTGGAAAAGGAAAAGCTAAATACATCTGAAAAAGTCTTCTTGCCAGTTTGAAGCGCTTCAGATCAACCATTCTGGTCCCTGGGACCCTCCGTGGGCTGGGAACCAGCCCGCACCAGCTCCAGCACATTCAAACCATGGCGAGCAGCTGCGCACGAACATGAACAAGGCAGGCGGGGATAAGGCACCAGCAGGAGAATTAGAAAACACAGCAAGTGCGAGGCACACGCAAAGGGAACTGGCAAACTTCATAGGGGCCAGCGCCCACTGGAGCTCAGGCAGCACGGATAAAGGATTTGGACAAAACAGACAGTCCTGAGATGGAGATCCACTTCTTAGTAAGGCTTTGAGTGCATGTATTTTTTAAGTGCTTTTCTTAATTTATCAAAAAAGACAGTCTAGCATTCTTTAAACAGTTGTGATCCTTCATTCCAGTATAAAACACGTACGCAAACATGGCTTAAGTCCCATGATCGCTTAGGATATCATTTTAAAGTCTGTATTAAAAATATTTTTATCCAAATGATAAATACTTTAAAATAAGCATTTACAAAAATAAATGGTCCATTCCCGTAAGGAAGGACATATATAACTGAAATTCTGAACACACCTTGAGGCAACACAATTATTGATGAAGCTCGTTAATAAAATCTTTGGTATGAGGGTATAGTATATTAATATTCATGCACCGTTATCTTCCTTTGGCAGGTACACTATACAGACAAGCGAAGAGGCAGCTTTTCCTTAATTTCTTGACATGTCTTCCAAATACAACATACAAATATTTCTAACGTGTCTTCGTATGATAATAGGAGAAAAACCCAAGATTCTCCTGGCTTTTCCTATGACTTTCGTATCTAAAACAGAAATGAAGATGGGAGGAAAAAGAGAAAGTGAACACAGTTAAGTTTCATTCTAGCTAGTAAGCAGCATCTACAAAACAGAAAAATAAATTAAAAAAATTACTCCAGAGGAAAGCCCGTTTCTTTCAATAGTGTATACATAAACTTCCAAGATACGATGGTACATCACATCCAGGTCTGGTGGCCCTGTTATACATGGGGCATTGAGACACTGCATCAGTATGGAAAAGAGCATCAAAAACTGGATTAAAAAGAGCCTTGGAGAGCTTTAGTTGGTAATTTCAGCAAAAATAAAGACAGACCACTTGAGGTCCAAGGACCTCCACAGGGAGAAAATATGAAATGTCAGCTGGCACAGAAACATGGGGCGGAGGGGCTCTGCAATCCAGTAAAGGCTTAACAAAAATGACAGGCTGGAGCTGACACCAGTTCACATTGAGAATGAGACACACACTTCTAATGCTATGGAGAATTGACTGGGATCCTGCGAAGTGATGGATTCTCTGGGTTTTTTGGTATCGGTCCCTCAATGCTTTTCTGAAAATGCTTCTGTTAAATGCTGGTGAACCCAATGAAGGAAAGTCACGGCAGCTAAGGAAACACACGGGTTAGCCTCAGTGGTCTAATGGTTCCCTTTTAGCCTTAAATCCTGACTCCATGGACAGTTCAGCTGAGGGACTCTGATCTGGGAATGAAGGGTAATGCTGCCAAGACTTCCATGTCACCTGAAATGTCCACAAACTGGTCTGTAGCCTACAGCTCTGGGAGAAAAATAGTCAAGAACAATGTCCAACTGCTGTGACCAGGGTATGAGGAGCAGAAGCCACTAAACCAAAATGGAGTTTGGATTCTGCTCCCTATCTACTGTGTGAAGACCGGCACTTCCCACAGCACTGTGTGGAGCATCGAGAGCAAGGGAATCAGCTCTGAATCAGCTGCTCTCTTCCCCTGGACTAGCACTGACTCGCTGCTTTGCTGAGGTTGATCCACGTGGACGCATGAACGCACTTTCTGCTGAGAGCTGCTGCTCTCATGGCAACGTTAGGCGAGTGGAAGGTAGGGCTGTCAGGAGGAACGGGAGCTCTGCTCCTCATAAGAGCAGGGGCAACGGCTGTAGCTGCTTGGGCTCACCAAATTGAGCCAGCGTCCTCTGGCCCTGGCACTGGTCATGCTTCAACCAAGGGATGTGGAAGCCAGAAGGTCTGGGTCTGTATTCCTGCCCTGTGACTGCTGGGAATTGTGACCCATTGCTATAGCAACAGGAGCTCACATTGCTACTGCCTTTAAAAAGAACCCCTATTTGTGGCATCTTCAGTAGGCAAACTATCCATTATTTATATCTCAGCATGTCTGAAGTGCAACTTGTATCCTAACCTCATTAATGAATGATGACACCTTGACCCGCTCTGTTAAGTAAGCCACGTTAGATCAAGAGGTGCGCTGCTCTACCATCACGTGCTAAAGTAAGGCAACCAAGAGAAAAACCACCAGGGTGGATTACCTGAGTTACAGCAATACCAAAATAATGCGAATCCTGCAGCAACGCTAAAACAAGCAAGGAAAAACACTGGACCTAAAGAAAAGGAAAAAGGAAACACATGAAGACAGAACAGAGCAGTGGAAGTGTAACACAGTTCATAAATCGTCAATTGCTATTAATGTACATAATTAAGTGTATTAAAATGAAGCTAACAGTCACAATTATGTATGTTCTGTAGCTAATGCAGCTACGAAAAAGAACAGTTACTATACCATAATTAAATTTTACTACAGTTGACACCACTCACTGTTCACCTCTGTTCATCTAGCGACAGCCTATTAAATTTAAGTGAAAGATTCCTTAGATGTTTTCTTACTCTACAACGTTCTGCAAAAAACCCTTTAAACACTACAGCAAAATACTAACCAAACTACTGGGACCTCACCACACAGCGTAGTATTTTACTCCACAAATAGTCCCTACATGGCCAATGCACTGCCTGCGGGTAAGAGCACATCATATGAGACTGCAGTCCCTTACAAGCAGATTTTTAGGGGTTTGTTTTTTCCCCCGCAGATGTGCCACAAATTCTGCTTTCATGACAAAAGCAAATATTCTTGTTCCTGCTTACAATTCTGCTGGCAGCTGAAAAGCAGAGCCACACACACCCCTAAACCAAATCTCCCACTGGAAATGTTTCCTTCACGTGCTTGCCTGGAATTACCTGCACTTATCTCTGATGTTCAGTAATTGAAGTTCAATAAAACCTTTCTAATTGATACTTATCCACAGACAAAACCTCATACAGATTTATATCTGCTTTTTTATTATCCAATATTCTATTTGTATTTACTACTTCACTATGAATACAGCTCCAATTAAACTGCACCTGTCAATTTAAGGACAGATGTACTGCAGAGTAACAGATCGGTGGAACCGACCACGTGGACACTGGGGAAACTGCGATGGAGCAAGGACTTGGCTGCTCCTTCAGCCACCACCTCCTGACCAGGGTGGCGAGCAGCCGGACGATCTCCAGCCTGAGGCCAGTTCTTTCATCAGCACAAGAATGAACAGCAATGATTTAATTTTCTTATTTCCAAGCACTTTCTCTGTTTGTCCTATACTGTTAGCTGCAGTCAGCAGCAGTGATGTGAAAAATGGAATAGCAATTTGGTTCAATATTTGAATTAACAACAACACAGGCAAAAATACACACGGACCTAAATTCGGTTTCTGCCCCTTTTTTTCAGTTTTCTCAGGGGCACAGTTCATAGAAGGTGCTTTTATTCTCTCATAATTGTATCCAAATTTCTAAATGCAATATCAACTGAACAAAAATCATAAGAGAGTTCATTGTAAATTTAGAAAATTGCTTCACCTTTCTTTCAGATCTTCAATTTCTTTTCAAAATATCTTTCAGTGAATAAAATATTTGCCTCTGTAATCTGAGCACTGAACAGCAGAAGAGGAAAAAATTAACATGTTTTGCTAAGGAAAATATATTTAAGTTCATCCTCGCTCATTTTCCTTCCTGTCTTTCTTTTCAATTTATTTGTACTTAAAGTGGAAGCTTAGAAAAAAATTAAAATGTTGAAAGTTATACAAGAAATTATTGATGGTCTTATGCAAAATGACAGCAGCAGCAGCTGAACAGACCTTACTATTCAAGCACTGAAGAAATCATAGGAAATGAAGAGTTTAGCTATAACAGTGTAAGTAAAAATACCACTGTAAATATTGATTAAACTCTACAGGCTCTTGAATTTCCTGGCACTGGTTTCCTCAACAGCAGCTCAGTACATTTTCCTCCATTAATTCCACTTAACTTGTGACAGTAAAGACATCATAAAACAAACCATTTGTTACATGAAATGCAAATTACATATTACAATAAATTGTATCATAATCTGAAAAGCCAATCCATCCGGTGACACTGTATGCATTTATTTACCCCTGTCATTTAGCATATATTTCTCCTTGTCAGTGTCTATCTCTGTGGAATCTGTGGTTTCTAGAAACAAAAGCAACACATGAAAAGTTAGTACGCAGCTTAAGCAAACAAACGAGCATAATCAGCACATGCAAAATTCTGTAAAACGACACATTTCAGAAAGAGACCCAATTTTGACATAAAATATTAACCCCTCCAAAGGTAAATCATTGCTGTACTTAAATCTGGATATACACTGACCAAAAGACACAGGCACATGTCATTTGAATGCAACTATAAACAGCTGCAGCAACACCTCTGACCTGGTCAAGCACTAACCATGTAAGAAACAACACACTTGTTTCCCAAGGGAGGAAAGCAGGAGCTAATCCTCCCATAACGCCAGAAATTATCATTGTAATAAATACAAACTATTTCTGAGGATCTGTGCTAATCTGAACACACTCCTCTAATTCGATGGCACTGCCATTCTTTCCATTCTTGAGCAGATCTCTGGGCACTAATGTATCTGGCAGATGAAGTACTTGGAACAAACCACTTGGTGCAGATTATTTATCTGAATTCTAGCACATGTCATTTGAATGCAACTATAAACAGCTGCAGCAACACCTCTGACCTGGTCAAGCACTAACCATGTAAGAAACATCACACTTGTTTCCCAAGGGAGGAAAGCAGGAGCTAATCCTCCTATAGCCCCAGAAATTCTCATCGTAATAAATACAAACTATTTTTGAGGATCTGTGCTAATCTGAACACACTCTAATTCAATGCACTGCTGTTCTGGAGCAAATCTCTGGGCACTAATGGATCTGGCAGATGAAGCACTTGGAACAAACCACTTGGTACAGATTATTTATCCGAATTCTAGCCTCAGCTAAAGACAGGTACGGCTTCTTCTAAAGTCTGTAGGTCCTATGTGCTAACGTGTGGTACAAATAATTTTTGCCTCTATTTTTCTGCCAGTTCAAGTTGAAAAGGAGGTTGACTTTAAGACACAGTGTTCAGAAGTTAGCAGCAATAAAGCAGTTTCTGCTTTGGGCAGAAAGACCACCAGCTCCTTCAGAGGTGCTGTTGCCATATAGATGTGGAGATAACACTGTCTGCAGAACATGCGGGCAACACCGAAGACCACTGCTGACACCATAAATGGCAGAGGAATTACTTTCTTTTAATGCATCACGAATCTGCAGAACAACTTTTTAAGCCAAACCTCTTTGTAGACAACAGGGTTAAAAAAAGTAAAAAGAAAAAAAAAAAGTGAGAGTTCCAAAATTGGCTGTCAGCAGGGAAGAATGTGATACTGTTTGGTTTCAACTGATTTCCTTATTCTCCCTGACAATCCAGAGCTACGTGAGGTGTCCTGGAAAACCACCCTGTACACCAAGTCAGCAAAGGGGACCTGCCCTCAGCCAACATGGGAGGATGAGCATCAGTCTCTCATGCTAAAACCACCCCTCGGTGGGGGACAGGCCATGGCATTCAAGCAGAACAGAAACATCTGAAGCATTTTGCTGCAAAGCTGGAGAGTCACTGATGCAGAAAGGATTGCTGCAATCTGACACAGTCTGGCCTTTTTGAGGGATGTCCTCCCTACCTACTCCAGCTAAGACATCCTCACACTTCACAGGTGAGCACAGTCAAATCTCTGCACTTTTGCCAGGCTATCGCTGTGTGTGGTGGTCTGATCCTTTCTATTTCTAGTCTATGGCAGCGCTGAGAGAAATAAAAACGTTTTCCGAGTTCCTCAGAAGATCCTGGTTGGCTTCAACTGCTCTGAAGCTGCCCAAGCCATGGGCCTCACCCCCCTCTAGTGGGAATCCTCCGGCATTACCAAACATTTCGCTTGCAATATTATACTTAGGGCAAGGAAATTTGGTTCTAGCAAAAATTTTAAAGTGGTTTTAAAAATGAAAAATAAATCTTTGAAAGGATTCCCTCTGTAGAAAACATTCTTCAGATGGGCAGCTGCATGTGATCTATTACAGAACTCCATCCTGGTCATCAGTGTCCTCACCAATAATTTCTCCAATGCTGCTGCTTTCAGTTCAATCTGCATTTAGAACAAAGTCCCCATGTTAGGGATTTCCTTTTCTCCTCACATTTACAAATTCTAGTGCCAATTCAATAAATGCTCTGTGCTAAATGTGACAAACATAACAACTACTGCTGTGAGTAGCATTTGAGTAACATAAAAAATGTCTATGTTAGAGGTTGAAAGGATATAAGCCTTTAATATTAAAAACGTTCAAATCCACTCAAATGAGAAATAACACCTCATATTGAAAAGGCAGCTTTTCCTGAAGAATAAAATTGTTTGCTGTTTTAGCTTAAAGTGCTGCACAGATGTTTATCGACAATTCAATCCAGAACGCAGACATCTGTTTTAGTTACAGAACTAAAACAGACGTATTAACATAATTATCTCATTATTTCCTTCTCAGGTCAATATAAGGAAACTGATGAATCTCACCATGTAGTAGTATTTTAGCTCGGTTATTTAAATTATTCTCATTGTTCTGAGGATGGTAACATAAGAGAGCATACCAAGATACAGAGAATTTAATGACTTACAATGGTTACCGGTCACCCTTTGCATAATGCAACAGCAGCAGAACAGTTTTGGGGCACCACAAACAGCTCTGTTGTTTCTGTGAAGCAGTTCTTGGACTCAATGATCTGAAAAGTCTTTTCCAACCAAATGATTCTGTGATTCTAGCACAGGTATTTGATCTGTTCAGCCTGTGCATGAGAAGCCCTAACCCTACCTACTCACGCTGCTACCAAGGAAAAGCTCTCAGAAGTAATGACAAAATCAGATGAAGGAAGAGCACGTTTATGCCCAGTGCAAGTTTCCTTTCAGCTGGTTTGCCCAGATCGCAACATGGTCACAGCTACGCTACCTCTAGCACCCAGCTGCACTCAGATTGTCTCACTGGGATGCAGTCAGGCCTCGGCTACTGTGGACACACCTTAGGACACACCTTAAGACGCATTTTCAGGACAGCTCGTAGAAGGTAAGCGTTATTGAACATTAACAGAGCTTAAACTATCAATAAACTCTGAAATTTCTTTCTTAGTGACCACATTAAGACTTCTTAGGTTGCTCTTAACTAATAAAGGCTGCCTGCTGCCTTCTAGTCAGCCCAGCAGAAAAACCTGTTGCTCTTGAGCTCTACCCAAGTAAAAACAATTGATCCAAGACTACTTGATTTAAAAGCCTGTTCCCTTCTGCAGGGTGAATACCAGATAGAAAGCAGTGCCTTAAAGCTGCTGTGAGGCTGAATTGATAGGGATTCAAGGCTCATCTGAGATTCTGAGGCCAAAATGTGCCCAGACTTTCCCAGTTCAAGACGGTTCAGGTATGGGACAAGGAGCCCTGGAGTAACTTTGCGGCCTCCCTGCACAGGCAGGAAAACGGTGCAGTCTTCCACTGCCACATATTTGTGCTGGGAAGATACAAAGCTTTCCCTTCAAAATGAAAGGGAAACCAAAGCTGGACAATGCAGTATCTTCAAAGGTAATTACAATTTTACATGCTATTTTCACTCCAGAAATAAAAGAGGTCTAACTGTTGGGTTTTTTTAACCTATGACTTTTGGTGTAACAGTTTGAATCTCACTGGAGTGTGACCCACATGTTTAAAATTTCCCCTGGCACCTAACTGTGGAGTTTCTTAAAATTAGAAATCAATTGACCAGTGAAGCATTAGTGCTGTTAGATACTTTATAAGGACTTCTTAAACTGAAATAACTTTGCAGCTTCATTAACTTCAATGTGAGAGTTTTCTCTCAAGCTCCTCAAGTCGCTTCAGTATGCAGGATGCCTGAATGTATTTCCCATACACTCGGAACACTGATCTTTTCTCCAATTTGTTAGGTAGGAAAAAAAATTATAAAAGGAACACGAACACATAGCAAGCATGATCCCAGGTTGGCAAGTCAGGCTTGGTACTTCTCCTTAAAGAAATGAGCTCCTTTGTAGTACCGAATCAAACCTGTTTGAGCCTCAGTCCTTCTGAAGTACACACGTGTATATCTGGGGGGCAGCTTTACGGACGTCAGTCAGGCCTGCCAGCTGCACAGAACAAGTCCCTAGTGATGAATATCACAGTTCACCATTGCAAGGGCCTATGAATGTTTGCTTCCCACTAAACTAGACATACCTAGGAGATTTAGGGATTGAGGAAAAGTCAAGCTTCTAGGCCACCAGTTTTGAGCTTAACAAATTTGAGTTCTGTAATATTCTTACATGCCACAAGTCAGAACATACACAGATGAAATAAACAAGCCACTAAGAAGCAATGATTATGAAAAGAGAAACTGCTTCATACAAGTCATACTGCTGCTTTGTTGCACTTAAACTGTTTTAAAGACTTATTTCATATTTCAAAAAAATCAAAGAGTTTTAGCCTGCCTACACTAGTCAATAAATAAGAACTATGCAGTCAAATTCCCCTTCAGCTTTTGGAAAATTCCAGTCAGAAGGAACTAATGTATACCCCAAAAATTACTTAAATAACCTAAACCTCATCTGAACGAGGTTCAGCAATTCATTGACGAGGAAATCCACAACTCAATAAACTCACAAATCAACTTACTCAAGATTTTCCTGCTTGGCAGGTCATTATACAGCTGTTCAGCATTGATCTGCAGAGCCCTGTAAAACTCTTGACAGTGCCGTTCTCCTTTCTTTTGAAGGTGCTTTATCAGATCTGAAAGTCTGGTATGGAGCGATGCCTTTGGATTCCTGAACTGTAAGAGAAAAGCATTCATCAGAAGAGAGATTACAACAGCTGGAGATCCATGTGACATCACTTTACAGTATTGCAGGGAGTGAAAACAAGGAGTTTGTTTTATATTTGCTACAAGGAAGGCCCAAAAAATTGAGGGGAACCTAAAAACGTCAGGCATTGCACAGCAGTCTTCAAGACACTGAGCTCTATCTGGTCAGCACTGCTTGATGGAGAGAGCGCAGTGCCTTTGCCTTCCCTCATTATCTTTTCTGTTCTGATAAATGACAGCTCCTCTGCGTTTGATGTTTTCTCTGCATTCAGACAGACACAGTACTTGCTATTCCACAATTTCATTCTGACAGCTCTTGATAGAAAATATTAACAAATCTTAAAATTAAGTTTTATGTTTTCAGGTTTTCCCTTAGTTGCCTAGTAATGATCACCCAATACTGGAGTGTTCATCATCCCAAGATTACATGTTTCGTTGTTTCCAGCACAATTAACTGCTGCGTACCCAGTGCAACATGTACAAATTCTCAGGATGCAGGCAACATGGCAAGCAGTTGCCAAAGAAAGTGCTTTTTTTTTCTGCAGTCCAAAATGTGATGAATATTAGGAGACCTTACAAAGAGAATGAGAACACACACCCAGCCTTACACACCAATTTCAGCTTATTTGGAAAGCATCCAAAGCCATTCTCAGCAGAGCATTATGTTTCAGGCCAGTACAGCAGATAACATTTGTAGCACGCTTAGTTAGGATCAATTCCTGCTCTGAGGGTACAGGAATGCAACACACTTTATACAGCACTCCTTATTCTGACAAAAATCCCACAAGGTCTACAGGGTAGAGCTGAGACTGTAAGCTGCCTAAACACTCAACCAAGTTGACAGAAACTTGCCTGTACCTATAAGAGAGCAGTTCATTTCTGTCTGCTAAGTGCAGAAGTCACAAATTACATTTCACAGACTCTTAATGCATTTACTTTGAAGCTCTTGAGGGAATAAGATGATCTTATGATTCTATGATCTTTTAATAGTGCATGTCACGCTGTTTATCACAAATGAGTGGCTAGGCTGGCTCAGCTGATGATCTAGCACTGCTCTACACCACCAAAACACAACTTGTCCCCAAGGAGTTCAATTATGACAGAATTAGACCTATATTTCCTAATGTTAAAATACTGATACGCCAAATCCCCGAGCCTTGTGCAGACAATGAAGTCATCAGAGGGCAAGGACAAACTGTCAAAGTAGGATCTGGGAAGCTTTTAACTGAGTTTAAGTTTCACTCCAAACAAGTTTAAGTGAACTTTCTCCCTAAAAACAGCTACCCATTTTTGAAAGCTTCATGCCAGGAAGGACAGCCTTCCTCCATACACAGCAGCACCATGGGAAGATGCTACTAACTCCTTCCACAGCTCCCACACTTCTAGGTGGGACTAATGCCACCCTTCTCTACCAATAATCAGAGTTATTAATCACATTAATCAGCAACTAAAACTGGTTAAACCAATATAGATGATTTTGTGGACACAGCTGGATGCAGCAGAGATCATCTGACATGACACTCCACACCAACTCATGTGAGGAGGCAGGCATGCAGGGCATTTGGTCACACGATGGGTGCAATCCTGCCCACAGAGCGATTATAAAATAGCGTGCTTGTGCACACACGGCATCAGACGTCATGGCAGGGCCCGTGGCATTAAGCTGCTGCTGAAGAGAGTGTTTGGCATGGGGAACGTGTCAGCCCTGTGACTTCTCTGATATGAAATCCCAGCTACAACAGGTCAGCAAGGAAGAGGTGAGGAAGACTGGCTGCATGTGGCACCAAAAGTCAAGCCAGGAAGAGGGGAGCTGCGCTACTGACCTGCAAAAACAATGCAACATTCAGAGATACAGTAAAATTCATCAGCTTACCTTTTCTGCTTCTGCATTGGTAAGAATTTGGGGGTAGACTCTGTTAAGCTGAAGAATGATTTTATCAACCACTTGCTCATTCAGTCGGCTATTGCTCGTAAGAAAATACATGTCGTGTTGCAGCCGATGACAATATGACTGATCTAGAGAGAAAGTTAAGACAAAGAACAAGCCACAGCAGTTAATTAGCAAGCCATCTTTAAATTCTGTAATTTCGTTTTCCTCACAATGATTAAACAGCTAAAATAAAATTACCACCATCATGTAATTTAGAAAGCTGAACTATTTATTAGAGAAACACAACACAGCCACGTGCTTTCAAAGATCCAACTGCTTAAAATGGGCTCCTGGCTGGTCACTCATGCTGCCTCTCTCTTTCCAAAGGCAGAAGGTTCTAAATTATTTAGACGTCAAGCAATGACGGACATTTAATCAAATACAGTCCTAAAGTTGTTAAATCACCGAGGATAAATTTTCTATCATTTATGAAGTCAGTTTATGGAGTTTAAAACTAATGTGTTTTATAGATTTTTTTAATGTAAATACGTATTTCATAGACAGAGGTTCTCTCTGTTGTAGAACAGTAAAAGGACATAAATTTGGCTTCAAATTACATCATTACAGGCATACAGCACAGGGCTGGCCTTTGCCTGCTGCTTAGCACGTGAGGACTGCAGCACAGCGTGGGGTGGGATGGGAAGCAGAGCTCACACAGCCAAAGCTGGGGCTGACCGAGCTGGAGTGATTTGGCTGCAACCCCAACCCTCCAAGAGTTCATTGCTGCTTTTTGTGTAACAGGAAACTTCAGCAACTCGCTCAGTGGCAACTGCCCAGACTGGAACAGAACTGAAACATGAGGAACAGCATCACTGCCAAAGAGCCATGAAGCCATGAAGTTTTTAGGGAATGACTTCTACCTTCACTTCGTGCACAAGTGGGGAGAAAGGGCATTCACAGAGCAGTAGATTTTTACCATGGAAGTACACTCCAATATCCATACAAATAAAACACATCTTTTTCTATTAGCCCAAACATCTGCAAATACACAAATCTAGTCCTGCTGTTGGTTTAGGCACCATTTCCAACTTGACAGTGATGGATTTTGCAGGAGCAGAGCTTCCCCTACAGCTGCTTGCCTATAGTCCCTAGATTAAGATACAGGCAGACTGGCTTCATGGGTTACTGTGCCCTTATCAGATTCAGAAAGAGAATATCTATGACTGTCTGAAATAACTATTAAAATGTCACTACAGTACTTTATAACCTAGCAGCACAAGAAACAAAAACAAAACCATGCGCACACCCCCAGCACGTTCCTCACTTAAAACCAATGCATAGGTCTTATGGTATTTTGGCTACCAGAAAATACATAACCATCAGCCTTTTACGCCTTGCAATTTAGAGAAGATAAACAAAAGAAAGTGAGACAGAAAATGTTGGCACTACATCTACGCATAACCCTTGCCCTTTTTATACCATGCCCTTTTTCTGTGTCCGTGTAGCACTAACAGCACCTACAGGAAAGGGTTCAGGAAATCCTCCCAGTGTGACCATCACACACCAGTAACTTCTCCAGTGCCAGTGTCACTCCTATCCAAACAAGAACACACAGCTGTTGATACTGCATAGATCGTGTAATTCTACAGGCACAACAGGATTTCAGTCATATTCTTACTTTTTATATAAACACCATGTTATTTCCACGTGTTTCTAATGCCTTGCTTTTCCACGGCTCGCTCTCAAAGCAGCTTTTCAGTGTGCTGTCAGAAACACGCTGCCCTGACACGCTTGCTGTGCAATTCCTTTTTGTTGCATGAAGTTCCCTGTTATCTGATTCATGGCTGAGATCAAACTTCTCCTCTTCAAATCAACTCATTGGCATGCACAAAAGGCTGAGGAATGGACCAGGAAGCTGTGAAGTTGTTAATGCAAATACTTTTTGGGGAATGAAGTGCCACAACGCAGCTTCCTCCTCCTTCTTCCCTCTGCTACATGATTTGCAGTGCCTCTCAGTGTCACCAACAACTCTGTACCTTCTGCAAACCTACAAAAAACACGCATTAAACCAGGGTCTTACAGCTAGCAGAGCAATTAAACTTCAAACAGCACAGTGACATTCAAACAAGAACCACAGTAAGTGCTAAAAGCATGACAAGGACCCGGCACAATGAGTATAGAAACTAAAATAAAAGCAGGCTCAAAGTGTCATCTCCTTCCCCGTTTCTTGCTCTTGTTGCCGCCGCACAGGCAGCACGCAGAAGTGCATTAGCAGCAATGACACCAGTGATGTTAACTGGGACCAACTGGATATCGCATTTAAGTCAAGATCATTTTCTGAGCAGTCAGGAGCTCTCTGTGTCCTTGTGGCACTTTTCATTTACACACACACATTAAACCATCACCAGTCTTACCAAGGGCCTTTTGCTGCCATCTGAAACGTGCGTGCTGGTGCACTGTAGATTATATTACAGGTCAAAAGCCTCTCTGAGATTTCAGGGGTGGCTACGTTTTCTTTCCACCTAAGCCAAAAGACAGGAGAAGAGAACGAGATGAACCTTTTGGCCTCTCTGGCTACTGCTGAACTGTGCCTGCCAGGGACAGGCTTTACGCCTGGCTCAGGAATCTGCAAGATGCTCCTCCCATCCTATGGGATGCACCATTTTCAAGAGACACCCTTGAAGCAGTCTGCTTCCTCCCCATTCCCACCAAATTACTTCAGTTCAGTATTTAGGATGGGGCGCAAGGTTTAAAATTTCCTGAAGAGTCGTTCTCAAGGTCAACACCAGCTCAATAAAAGCAGAGCAGAAGTAACTTCCAGTATTTCATCTCTCTTCCAAAATCTTTTGTCTCCCCTCTAACTCTGAGAAATCTCTGCATAAAACACACAAGGAACTGCCTTCAGGCTTCTGGTAGACCAGAGCAGTGAAACTTCCCACCAACACCACTCAGCAGTGCAAGATTGTGCTCCAGCTACTAAATTTAAAGAAAACAAACACAAAAAGCCCCACCAATCCCAGTGGCTGGAACATGGCACGCTGCTTTGGGGTGATAAGAGTATCTGGAAAGCACACGTGTGCCTGTGAAGCCACCATGTGATGCTCCTGGGCCCAGCTTGCCCCAGGAGCTCCAGTAGCTTTGTTATGGCACGGGCTTGCTTCCAGGCACTGCCAGCCACGGTCCAGCTCTGGCCGTACAAACACGACTGTCGTGAAGTTTTATAATCACTGCTCATGGGCAGCAGCTTTTACTATTGAACACACCCATTATTTGCACTTTAAAATAAAAAGAAACCCCAAACCAGGTAACTTCACAACTGCAACAAGGCTACTGATGTGCTGTCAGGTCTTATGAATTTAGGGAGTGGTTGTTTGGGATCTTTTGCATATCCACCTTTTATCTTACTCCCTCAAAGAGACGATCGTTATTGCAAGGAAAACTTAAAATTTTCATGCTAAGAAGCCTTTGGTTTAAACAGGGGTCACTCCAGCACTAAAAGGACAGTCGTGCTGTTAGCAAGTACTTTGCTAGACAGTTCAGAGCAGCAAAATCGGGTGGATTAACCACAGCTTACAGCACAGGTGTGGCACTGCCAGGCATTTGAACACTCTTGAACTGCAGGAGGATTGCATTTAACTCCAAATCTGTAATTTGATATTATAGCAGTTACACCTTCTCCTCCACTGCAACATTAACTGGTCTTGATCCTGTTTGCAGGCTTTGGACCCAGCTCAAGCACTGAAGCTGACCAAAAGGTTGCTTAAAAAAAGGTCGGTATTTTCCTTCCTCAAAGGAAATGCAAACTTGTCAGAGACAGACAGGAACTGGTTATGACAGCTGAGAAGAAAACATGACTAATAATTTGATGTTATTGACTTATAATGACAATGAGCCCATGTCACATCATGTACAACCACTTTTTTCTCTGACCCAAAGCACAGAAGGTCTCTGGCACACAGCATATGCACACCACACTAACAGACACAGCCTGCACCTGACCGCACACAAGGAAGGAAAGGACGTACACATATAATTGAGTGATTACATAGGTGAGATTACCAGTTATTAGTAGCCAGCAGCTCCTCAAACAGAGAATAAAATACATCAAATCAGTGATGATAAATGTGCAAGCAGCAAGTGACGGTAACAAAGCAACGCACTCACCATTTTTCACCTGCAGGTAAAAATCACCCTCACTGCAACCCTTCATAAAACACATCTCTGGTCTTCCTTCCAAATGGGCAATTGGGTATCTGGCAATAGCTGTAAACTGACCCAGCTATTATGCAAAGTGCTGGCATTTTAAGGCAGCTGGAATATTACTTGAAAGTGACAAGGCTCACAAAAAATCCAATTGTATGCGACCATAACCTGCCAGACTGCCCTCTACAGCACCTGCAGGAAAACTGGTAAGGGTGACAGAACCACCCTTCCTAATTTAATAGCAGCACACATTCACAGAGGTTTTTTGAGAGACATCTCCTAACTTGGCAGCAGTCAGGACATCAGACAAGCGCTGTGGCCTTGGTGCTCTGGCTCCATTTGCCTGTGGTGAGGTGCCTGGTCCCTGCAAGGTGTCACTAGCCACTGGCACAACGCATTGATAACACAAAACATAACTTTCAGGCTGTCAAAAATCCCTTTGTAACTTTGATTCTGCTTAATTATTCTTACCATAAAAGACCTCATGTTGTTTTCTGTACAAGGAATATCAAATGTGATTTTGTCTCTCAGCCCCTGCCCACTTACACTCCTCTATGATCTACTGGAACTGCCCTTCTGGATGAAACCGCACAGTCCTTGAGACCTGCCACCTCAGGCTGGAGTCTGCATCGTCACATCACGTTTATCACAGTAAATGAACAAATCCAGCTGCATTTCAAATTCAAAATCTTCAATCCGCCCCTTCTCGCTATGCTAAGCCATGTAACTGCTCTCATCCACGCCTAGGCCCCAGGAGCATTAATGCTGCCAACTGCCTTAAGTCAGGCAGGTAGGCCTTTCCAATTAATTACTCCACCAATATTTATGCAAGGACTCTTGATACCATCTCTTGACACTACTCTATCTTTATTATGGTTTTATCTTTTGTTTGTTTTTCCCTTAAAAGTCTCCTTCAATTTGTCAAGCAGACAGGATCATCA